CTGGTAGAATTCGGCTGTGAACCCATCTGGACCTGGGCTTTTTTTGGGTGGTAGGCTCTTAATTGCTGCCTCGACTTCAGATCTTGTTATTGGTCTATTCAGGGTTTCGGCTTCTTCCAGGTTTAGGCTTGGGAGGAGGCAGATGTCCAGGAATTTATCCATTTCTTCCAGGTTTACTAGTTTATGTGCATAGCGTTTTTTTAAATAATCTCTGATGATGGTTTGGATTTCTGTGGAATCTGTGGTGATATCCCCTTTATCGTTTTTTATTGCATCAATTTGGTTATTCTCTCTTTTCTTTTTTATTAATCTGGCTAGTGGTCTGTCTATTTTGTTGATCTTTTCGAAAAACCAGCTCCTGGATTTATTGATTTTTTGAAGAGTTTTTTGTGTCTCCTTTTCCTTCAGTTCTGCTCTGATCTTAGTTATTTCCTGTCTTCTGTTAGGTTTTGAGTTTTTTTGATCTTCCTCCTCTAGCTCTTTCAATTTTGATGATAGGGTATCAATTTTCGATCTCTCCTTTCTTCTCATGTGGGCACTCATTGCTATATATTTTCCTCTAGAGACTGCTTTAAATGTGTCCCAAAGATTCTGGTATATTGTGTCTTCGTTCTCATTGGTTTCGAAGAACATCTTTATTTCTGCCTTCATTTCATTGTTTATCCAGTCAACATTCAAGAGCAAGTTGTTCAGTTTCCATGAAGCTGTGCGGTTCTGAGTTAGTTTCTGCATTCTGAGTTCTAACTCGATTGCACTGTGGTCGGAGAGAATGTTTGTTATGATTTCCGTTGTTTTGCATTTGCTGAGGAGTGATTTATTGCCAATTATGTGGTCATTTTTAGAGTAGGTGTGATGTGGTGCTGAGAGGAATGTATATTCTGTGGATTTGGGGTGGAGAGTTCTGTAAATGCCTATTAGGTTTGCTTGTTCCAGGTCTGAGTTCAGGTCCTGGATATCCTTGTTGATTTTCTGTCTGGCCGATCTGTCTAATATTGACAATGGGGTGTTAAAGTCTCCCACTGTTATTGTGTGGGAGTCTAAGTCTCTTTGTAAGTCATTAAGAACTTGCCTTATGTATCTGGGTGCTCCTGTATTGGGTGCATATAAATTTAGGATTGTTAGCTCTTCTTGTTGCAGTGATCCTTTTACCATTATGTAATGTCCTTCTTTGTCTCTTTTGATCTTTGTTGCTTTAAAGTCTGTTTTATCAGAGATGAGAATTGCAACTCCTGCCTTTTTTTGCTCTCCATTTGCTTGGTAGATCTTCCTCCATCCTTTTATTTTGAGCCTTTGTGTATCCTTGCATGTAAGATGAGTTTCCTGGATACAGCACACTGATGGGTTTTGGCTTTTTATCCAATTTGCCAGTCTGTGTCTTTTGATTGGGGCATTTAGTCCATTGACATTTAGGGGTAGTATTGTTATGTGTGAATTTGATGCTGTCATTTTGATGCTACCTGGCTGTTTTGTTGGTTAGTTGATGCAGATTCTTGATTGTGTTGATGCTTTTTTACCATTTGGTGTGTTTTTGGAGTGGCTGGTACTGGTTGTTCCTTTATATGTGTAGAGCCTCTTTCAGGAGTTCTTGTAGAGCAGGTTTGGTGGTGATGAAATCTCTGAGTGCTTGCTTGTTCACAAAGGATTTTATTTTTCCTTCACTTATGAAGCTTAGTTTGGCTGGATAGGAGATTCTGGGTTGAAAGTTCTTTTCTTTAAGGATGTTGAATATTGGCCCCCAGTCTCTTCTGGCTTGTAGGGTTTCTGCTGAGAGATCTGCTGTGAGTCTAATGGGCTTCCCTTTGTGGGTAACCCGACCTTTCTCTCTGGCTGCCCTTAGCATTTTCTCTTTCATTTCAACCCTGGTGAATCTGACGATTATGTGCCTTGGGGTTGCTCTTCTTGAGGAATATCTCTGTGGTGTTCTCTGTATTTCCTGTATTTGAATATTGGTCTGCCTTGCTAGGTTGGGGGAGTTTTCCTGGATAATATCCTGAAGAGTATTTTCAAGCTTGGATTCATTCTCTTCATCACATTCAGGTACCCCTATCAAAAGTAGATTAGGTCTTTTCACATAGTCCCACATTTCTTGAAGATTTTGTTCATTCCTTTTTGTGCTTTTTTCTCTCTTCTTGCCTTCTCTTTTTATTTCATTGAGTTGATCTTCAACCTCTGATATCCTTTCTTCTGCTTGGTCAGTTCGGCTGTTGAAGCTTGTGCATGCTTTACGAAGTTCTCGTGTTGTGTTTTTCAGCTCCATCAATTCATTTATATTCCTCTCTATGCTGTCCATTCTCGTTAGCATTTCGTCCAATCTTTTTTCAAGGTTCCTAGTTTCTTTGCGTTGGGTTATAACATGTTCTTTTAGCTCATTGTAGTTTCTTACTACCCACCTTCTGAAGCCTGATTCTGTCATTTCATCACCCTCCTTCTCCATCTGGTTTGGTTCCCTTGCTGGTGAGGAGTTGTGATCCCTTTTAGGAGGAGAGGTCTTCTGGTTTCGGGAGTTTTCATCCTTTTTGTGCTGGTTTCTTCCCATTTTTGTGGGTTTATCCACCTGTTGTCTTTGTAGTTACTGTCTTTCAGATTGGGTCTCTGAGTGAGCTTCTAGTTCGTGGATGCTGAAGTTACTTCTTTTTTTTTTTTTTTTTTTTTTTTTTTTTTTTAAGCTTTCCTTCTAACAGTCTGGCCCCTCTGCTGTAGGACTGCTGAGGCTCTCTCCGGGCCCTGCTTGCCTGGGGATCACCTGCAGCAGCTGTAGAACAGTAAGGGTTGCTGCCAGTTTCCTCTTCTGCTATCTTTGTCCCAGAAGGATGCTCGCCTACTGTCAGTCCATTCTCTCCTTTTTGAGGTGAGTCTTTGGATCTATTGGGGTCAGTGAGCTACTTGTGGAGACAGTCTATCTTTTATTGGGGCTTAAGTTCTGAGCTGTGAGCTCCGTTGTTCATTCAGAGCTGCTGGGCAGGTACGTTTAGGTCTGCTGCAGCTGAACTCATAAAGCACTTTTTGTTCCCAGGTGCTCTGTCCCAGGGAGTTGGGGCTTTATGGGTTTCCGTTGTGCTACTGCCTTTTTTGATTTTTCTTTCAGGTCTGACCCGCCCAGATAGCAGCATGCCTAGCCACTGCCTGCCTGCAGAGGCTTTGCTGAGCTGCTGTTGGCTCCGCCCAGCTGCCCTTTGCTCTTCCCTGCAGTCCTGTTTATATGGGCATAGTTAGAACTGTCTAGGCAAAGGTGGCCCCGCCTCTGTTATGGTGGACTCTCTCTGTTGTGGCAGGTTGCCTCGGCAACGGTAGGTTGCCTCAGGGATGGCTGCCTGCCTCCGTAATGGTGGAGAGTCTCAGTAATGGTGGACGCCCCTCCCCCACTGAGCCGGACCTTTTCGGGTTCTGCTGTGCTTGGTTTGAAGGGCTCAACCCAGAGGGTTTCCAATTACTGTTTTTGTTTTCGTTGTTGTTGGGGGTGGGGGGCTGGGACCAACCGAGCCTGATCACCTGGCTCCCTGACTCAGAGTCTTTTCTTTTAAGTTGAACGACCCCGCGTTCCAGTCGCTTGTTGAAAAGGCGACGGGATCTCCTGCGCTGCGACTCAGTTGGCTCAAACAGCAGAGCCGGCTCCTGGTGGATTTTTTGCCTAGGAATCTCCTGGCCTGGCTTGCTATTTCAGATGAATGGGCAACTCTGCCGTCTCAGGGCTCCGATCGCCAGCTAAGAGGGCTCCCAGACCAGTGGCTTTTGTCCGGAGAACCACAGCAACAGGGCGTGGTCACAGCAGCAGCGCGGGCTGAATCAGCCCTGCAGGGGCCAAAACAGCCACACTGGCTGGGACTGCGGCTCTGGTGACCCCTCTGCCTGGGTATCTCCTGCTCTGTGTGCAATAAGAGTTCGTCTGGAAATGCGGTGTCCACTCACCCTCTGCACTTTCACTGGGAGCTGAAGTCCTGAGCTGTTCTTAGGCGGCCATCTTCCCAGCATTCCCCCCAGAATTAGTGTTTTGAAACAAGACTTCCTCCTCTCTCCCATAATCTATTCCATATTAACTAGTTTCTTAGTCTTTAACCATTCCAAATTATTTCTCATCAGCATTATTTGTGATCAGCACCATCACTACTATATTTATAAATATACAGCTTGATTATGACTCTCCCTGTTTTCTATTTCCCATGGAATGAATTCCAATTATTAAGAATTGCATATAGGACATTCTGCTTTTATTTCCGATTTATCTTTTTACTCCCCTCCTTAAAAACTATCCTTTAACCACACTGACCTATTTTACATTTTCAAATGTTCCATGCTCTTTTAAACTTCTGTGCCCTTGTCCATGCTATTACTTTGGAATAAAATGTCCTTCTCCACTTTTATATTTGGTGAATTCACTGACATTCCTTGAAGCAGAAGTCAAACATGACCTTCTCAGTTTTACAATTCTTATTTTCTTCTCTCCAAATCTATAGTGGCTTGAACTCTTTGATATTGCCTTGTATATGCCTAAGAAATGTTTCTGAAATGAGTAATTGGTAAATCTACAAAAACATAAAGTGGGGTATTTTGTTTCATTGATGTTCTATATAAAAAGGCATCTTACATTACACAATAATTTCTTTGAAAAGCTGTGATTATATTGTATTTTAATAAATCACAGTGTATTCCAAGAGAATAAATTGAGTAATGCTAGTGTGAAACATCCTACTGTTATATGCATGCTCTTTGATATGTTTTATTTATCTTGTGTATGTGTAGCCTTAAGATTGCTGAATATGGGAAAACACAGTAACCAACCAGGGATACATAACGTAAACTTGTTTTTGTTTGTTGAATTTAGAATCTCAGTTTAGCTATTGTCTATAGAGTATGATTACTATTGAAATGTTCTCATGACCACCTTACACAGTTCTTTGGAAGATTGTTTCATAGCAGAAAATTAAAAAGAGAAAATATATTTCATGTTAGAAGGGAAAAATAGCATTCATATAGAACTAGATTAAAAAAAGACTAATGAAATTATATGTTAATATTTTACTTGGAAGATACATAAAAGGCTGATAAATGATAAGAGAATGCTATTTAAATGAAGCACAGTGATTAGAGTATTTATTTGTAGAGCACATAAAGCGTGCTCTCCATACGCCTTCTTTGTGGACCTCTATGACATTAGAAGAGAAATTAGGAGGTAAAATGTATGGATAGGTATTTCCTTTTTCAGTGATTTAGAGGCTGGGAAACACAGTGGCAAATATAGGCAGTATCAACTGTTGCTTAAGGAAGTGGAGATTTTCTGTCTCTGAAGTTTGACAAAGATGGTGATTTTGCTATAGCTTTGAACCTGAGACTAAATAGCATATGTTGACTAAATAATATATTTGATTGGTCTTCAAACTGGAAGATTAATTTGAAAAGGTTAATCAGGATTTCATTTATTTACGACTACATATAACTTGTTTTAATTAATAAATTTGGTTTTAAAAAATCTGTTGACCAATATCCATGAATGGAAATGTGTTTATATGTTAACATTTTAGAAATGCCCATTCATGTATTTTAAGTGGACATTTACTACAAACATTATTTTCCTTTACACGTGAACAAAGCATAGCAGCTTACTTATAGCATCACATACTCAATCTTTAAAACATGCACACTATTCCCTTAAATATTATGTAGTTAGTGCCACCCATCATTTAAAATAGAGCTGAAAATTAGAAGTCATTGAAAAAATTCTGAATGAGTCTTCTCAGCTTTGAAAAGTATGCCTGGATCTTTAATTGTAACATATGCTTGTATTAGAAAGTATCAGTTAAAGAAAACATGGTTAATAACTCAATCTATTATATCCAACCAGGTGGTTTTGTGATATTAATGCCTAATAGAGTAGGGCACTTGTTAGACCATAGACTGATTAGGATTCCGGATTTTTTCATATTCTTCAGCATAGCGTTGATACTGATTCAGTGAGGAGAGGCTGGTTAGCTTCATCCATACTGCGTCTGGCACGTAGCAGACAAGAAGCAGTCGCAAAAATGAGTGCGACCAGTAACAAAGCGGCTACTACTGCTATGGCAATTACCTCAGGTACACTGAACTCCCGGCCTATTTGGAAAGAAAGATAAAAAGATAAATATTAAAATAGTTATAGCCAAAAATTGGACACCTGGAATTTAGGGATAAATATCTACATTTTAGCAGAAATCCTCATGTTTAATTTATTTTAGCCACATGGCCTTGAAGCCACTTCCTGATTTCTTTTGATGAGTGGACCCTATTGGGATAGTCATTGTTATTTCCATTTCATTTTGTGAAAGTGAGAGAATGACGACTCAGAGTTTGAGGCACTTGCCCATGGTCACTTGGTTAGTAAGTAATAAAGTTGGTTTTGGACCCCAGGTATTTTAGAATATAAGTCTTGTACTCTTCCACTATGCCCCACTGCCTCTGTTGGGAAAGAGACTTAAACAAGAAATTTTGAATTTCAAAATCTCAGAAAAAGTACCTCAGAGTATCTCACTCCCTTTTCCTTTAGGATAGATAAATGTAGGCAATACAGTAGAAAAATTGGAACCTATTCCATGGGCCTAAACTCAAACTCATTCTTTTCCTTCATTAGAAATGTGGAGCTGTAACAGCCTCTTTCAGCCTTAGCTTCCTTATTTGTATAATGAAGATTTTCATACTTACCCCAAAGCATTGTGAGGATTAAATGAGATAGGCTGCAGTACAGTAAGCTCAATATCAGCTTAGTGTGGGCTCTCAACAAATATCAAATTCCCTCCCTTATCCTCAAATAAAAATACAAATAAAAGCTTCATGCAAAACATAGCTTCAGAACACCATGATTACTCTCTTTAAAGATGACACATTTGCTTTTGGAAATCATCACAGTGAAAATGCAATTTCAATACTCACTTGGCCATTGAACTTCATAAGTATATCCCAGGTTGTCTGGAGCAGTAACAAACATTTCTGTGTTGGTGATGGGGGGCCAGAATGGCACCATGTTATATTGTCTATTATGTCCAATAGGGGCATTTTCCAATGGAAATGTGGATATATCTAAATTATTCCAAAGACAACTTGTTAATAAACATAAAATAAATATTTATGTTATTATTCAGGTCTAAAGGGATCCAATATTCAAAGAGAATGTGAACAAATTTTATTCTTATTTTATACTGAATAAAGATGAAGTTTCACTACAGCAGGATAGGGAATCAGTAAAACAGAAAATCTTTTGAATACAGTACCAATATACTACTCAACAGAAAAAGAGAGCTTAAGAGCAGGGGAGTTTTAGTATTTTATCATCTATCATGATGGTGAATAGTTTTTAAAAATTATGTAAAATAATTTCAATACAACTCATTAAATGTAAATGTATTTTTCAAAGCCAAAGAAAAGATAAACCTCTAATTTACTGTGGCATCATCTGTAATTTAAAATTTAAGATTTGATATATCAATTAGAGCTTGTGCCTTTTTATGACTATTTCTGTTTAGTTTTCTTTTTTGCTTCGTCCAGTGTTTTGTTTATTTATCTTTTTAAAATATATATATAGATATATATATTTATAATATATAAATATATATATTTAATATATATTTTAATATAATTTATATATTTATATATAAATATATATAAATATATATATATTTATAATTTATAAATATATATGTATAAATATATATATTTAAAAAATATATATAAAATATATATATATATTTTATTATGTTTTAGGTTTTGGGGTACATGTGAGGAACATGCAGGATTGTTGCATAGGTACATACATGGCAGTGTGGTTTGCTGCCTTCCTTCCCATCACCTATATCTGGCATTTCTCCCCGTGTTATCCCTCCCCAACTCCTCACCCACTGCTGTCCCTCCCCTAGTTTCCCACCACAGACTTCAGTGTGTGATGCTCTTCTCCCTGTGTCCATGTGTTCTCATTGTTCAACTCCCACCTATGAGTGAGAACATGTGGTTTTTGATTTTCTGTTCTGGTGTCAGTTTGCTGAGAATAATGGTTTCCAGATTCATCCATGTCCCTACAAAGGACAGGAACTCATCATTTTTTATGGCTGCATAGTATTCCATAATGTATATGTGAAACATTTGCTTTGTCCAGTCTATCATTGATGGGCATATGGGTTGGTTCCAGGTCTTTGCTATTGAAAACAGTGCCTCAGTGAACATACATATGCATGTGTCTTTATAATAGAATGATTTATAGTCCTTTGGATATATACTCAGTAATGGGATTGCTGGGTCAAATGGTATTTCTATTTCTAGGTCCTTGAGGAATCGCCACACTGTCTTCCACAATGGTTGAACTAATTTACACTCCCACGAACAGCGTAAAAGTGTTCCTATTTCTCCACATCCTCTCCAGCATCTGTCATCTCCAGATTTTTTAACGATCGCCATTCTAACTGGCATGAGGTGGTATCTCGATGTGGTTTTGATTTACATTTCTCTAATAATCAGTGATGATGAGCATTTTTTCGTATGTTTTTTGGCCTGATAAATGTCTTCTTTTGAAAAGTGTCTGTTCATATCCTTCGCCCACTTTTGAATGGGTTTGTTTGTTTTTTTTTTCTTGTAAATCTGCTTTAGTTCTTTGTATATCATGGATATTAGCCCTTTGTCAGATGGGTAGATTGCAAAAATTTTTTCCTATTCTATTGGTTGCTGGCTCATTCTAATGATTGTTTCTTTTGCTGTACAGAAGCTTTGGAATTGCATTAGGTCCCATTTGTCTATTTTGGCTTTTGTTTACACTGCTTTTGGTGTTTTAGTCATGAAGTCCTTGCCTATGCCTATGTCCTGAATGGTTTGCCTAGGTTTTCTTCTAGGGTTTTTATGGTGTTAGGTCTTATGTTGAAGTCTTTAATCCATCTGGAGTTAATTTTAATGTAAAGTGTCAGGAAGGGGTACAGTTTCTGCTTTCTGCACATTGTTAGCCAGTTTTCCCAACATCATTTATTAAACAGGGAATCCTTTCCTCATTGCTTGTTTTTTTCAGGTTTGTAAAAGATCAGATGGTTGTAGATGTGTGGAGTTGACTGAAATGCTTCTGTTCAGTTGCATCAGTCTATATCTCTGTTTTGGTAGCAGTACCATGCTGTTTGATTACTGTAGCCTTGTAGTATAGTTTGAAATCAGTTAGCGTGATGCCTCCAGCTTTGTTCTTTCTATATTTGTAAAAACATTTCAGTCATTTGAAAAATAATTCCATCCCTCCACTCCTAGACTTATTTTAAATAAGACTTTTGCTTTAAAGACAGTTTTATACATTTTTGAAATCTTTTTAAGTTCTCTTTCTCTTCTTCACTGTTGTTTTATAACATTGCTTTCTAAAAGGTATTTGCAGGTACAAGGAGTATTTAAGAAGGAGGCTGCTTGTTTTAGTTTAGCTCTCATATAATTTGCAGGTGTTTACATTGACCCGTCCTATAATTTTATGGTCATATTTTATCAGAAATGTGCTATAGGGTAGTTTCTTATTTTTCATTTATGGTACTTCTCTTCCCACTACAATTTAAGTTACCGGAAAACCTTATGCTACATATATCGCAAACTAAGAAAATGTCAGAAAAAAATGTTAAAAAGGTATTTTTCTGGTTCATCAATGACATTTAGGTTAAAATCCAAAGAACCTTTAACAAATTGCTATGAATGTAAAATAATTATTTTTTTCAATCAAGATACACAAGGCAAAGGAATATCTTTCCTATCTTTCACAGGTGAAAGAAAACCTCACTTAAGAGACTTGCCAGGTTACTGGATAGTCTCCTTTTCCTCTGAAAAGTTTACTAACACCCATGGCATGGTGAATAAGTGAATAAATACAACTTGAATATTGCTATGTAGTTCCCAGAGGTGTATGTTTAACTCAAGTTGGTTTTGGTAATTCCTAAACCTATTGATTCAAGTTTACTCCTTACTGTAGGAAGGAGTAAAGTAATCTAGTTAAATAAGCATAAAGTTATCATCATGACTGTAACAAAGAGAAGAATGCTGTTTTTGTAATATGTAAATTGAACACTTTGGAAAGGTTTGCTAAAGGTGAATGGCTAGAATATTCACCCTCATATTGTATTACAAAAGTCATTCATTTACGGTTTCACTTTTTTTTTTTTTTTTGAGATGGAGTTTCACTCTTGTTACCCAGGCTGGAGTGCAATGGCGCGATCTCAGGTCACCGCAACCTCCGCCTCCTGGGTTCAGGCAATTCTCCTGCCTCAGCCTTCTGAGTAGCTGGGATTTTAGGCACGTGCCACCATGCCCAGCTAATGTTTTATCTTTTTAGTAGAGGCGGGGTTTCACCCTATTGACCAGGATGGTCTCGATCTCTTGACCTCGTGATCCACCCGCCTCGGCCTCCCAAAGTGCTGGGATTACAGGCTTGAGCCACCGCGCCCGGCCCGGTTTCACTTTTTAAAAAGCTGACACCATAAGTTATAGATAATTAATTATAGTTGCCATTATGTATATAAATACACATGAAAAAATGAGATGGAATTATAATAACAGAATTCATAACTGATTGACAACTAAATGATTACTTATGTGTAAATTATTTATTTATTTATTTATTTTGTTTTTTTGAGATGAAATCTCTCTTTGTCAACCAGGCTGGAATGCGGTGGTGTGATCTTGGCTAACTGCAACCTCTACCTCCTAGGGTCAAGCCGTTCTCATGCCTCAGCCTCCCTAGTAGCTGGGATTACCAGCACCCACCACCATGCCTGGTTAATTTTTGTGTTTTTAGTAGAGACTGGGTTTCACTATGTTGACCAGGGTGGTCTCAAACACCTGGGCTCAAGTGATCCACCTGCCTTGGCCTCCCAAAGTGCTGGAAGTACGGGCTTATGTGTAAGTTGTTTCTTAAATAATTTTTGATGGAACAAACTATTTTGATCGACTTCATCAATTAATGGTCCTAATTAGATTAGAGGACCTTACTACACACATACACACATAGAAATAAGTCTGTCTAATGGATAGATAAATCAATAGGTAGTTAAAATATAATATCATGTTTATGTGCATAATGAACTAAAGGCACAGAAGCCAAAATTTAGAATGCTTTCAACATACAAAAATTTGTGATGTTTTAACCAGTGGAAGCACTTTCATTGTTTGAAAAGTAATGCTAGCCTCTCAGCTGCATAGGAAGGCAGAGAAAGAGGTCTTTTAAATCATATTTTAAAAACTGTATTGAAATGAACTTAAAAGAGATTTCCTATAGTGTGATATAAAAAACAACATTAACTTTTCAAGTGGAACAAAATTTCTATTTGTGAGAGGCCATTAAGTAATAAAAATAAGAACTATGGATCATAGATATACAACTTAAAGTCTTTTGGGATATCAAAGAGCTCTGTGAGGTTTTCCTCAATTATATTTAAAAGTAATAATTTATGTTGGAAGATATGGATAGGAAAAATTTTTGAAAAATAGTAGCCATTTTTTAAAAGCGAAAATTGGAAGAGATGATTTGGTTAGTCCTAGCAAATGCTTAAAAAATATCATCCTATAAAAACTATTTGGAGAGACTTCTTGCCTGTATTTTGGAAGTGGAATTGAATGTCTGGAAATGGCTTGATATTACAGCTATTTTATCCTTATTTTGAATGTATTTTTATGTGCTGACTGCTTAGCTTAAACTCATAACTATGCCATCTAAACAGTTCGCTTGGCTGAGCATGCAAAAGGCATATGAAAATGTCTTACCAGCACTGTATCTCCTCAGCCATTCATCAAAGACTGCATCCGTGAAAGTGTGCAGGAGGACAAAAATGGGATCATTTGGAGACAAATGGGTTTGTCCCCCTGTTCCATTTAGGAATAGATGAGCCAAATTGTGAAGGCTTCGAACAGCAGGGTCATACTTTCCTGTGGGATCACTGTAACCTAGATACGCAAGTAAGGAGGAAAATAGTAAAACAATATTGCAAATACTTTACTTTTCTAGATAATAGCAATGATTATATTAAGAAACATTTTTTTCAAAGCTTGTGTCAGGCCATTTTTTGCCTTAATATAACAGCACTGTTTCTCTGTACCTCTGGTTGATGACATTTGTTTGCTGTACCCAGAGCTAGGTTGGTTTTATGCTAGTGGCATGACATCCTAAATGTTGCCTCTAGGTTAAAAATCATGACCTGCAAAGATTCCAGTCAAAATATATAGACACTCTACTTGACAAGGCAAACATTGTCCTACATGGGAATAAAGATAGTGAAAATCTTCAGTTTCTACTAAAAACTCCTGACACAATTGGGAGAATAATGCTCTGACTGTCTTGGAACTTAAGTTGCCAGATATTATTTCCACCTCCTACCTTAGTTTTGAATGACTGTCAGCATGTTTATTTTTGGAAAACTAATTTATTTTTTGTGAGGAAGCTACAATTTCTCAGGGCTGTCTAACCATCTCTGTGCTAGTTTTAAGCACTGGGAGAACCTACTGTCAAAACATTTATAGAGCTTTTGATAAATATCTCAATTCCATATATGTGTGTGCGTGTGTGTGTGTGTACACACACACACACGCACACACACACACATACATATATATAAAAGGGAGAAAAAAAGGATAGGTATAGGACAGGTCATAAATAAAAAATGGAGGGTATGTGATGTAAGACGTCTAACTGGCTTGAAAGACCAGAGGTTTGAGATAAGGGAAAGGCTGTGTATTATAAAATGAAATAAGAATTTAAAATTTGTTAACCAGTTCTCTCTTCATCTAAGATTGTGTAGTTGTAGCCACCTATTTATTCACCTATGTATTTTCTCAAGCATCAATTCCTTTATTATTTGACTCAAAAACATTTAAAGATTGCCTATGATATATATGGCATGTGGCTTGACACTTGTCTTTTAATACATTTTTGTCAGGAAAGTAAGTATAATTGTCTTCTGATTGGGCATTAAGAACCCACAATCTGCACATTTTTTTAGAAATCGGTACTGATAGCCTTAGTTTATAGATTACCCAAAATATAGTGATTATTTTAATAGAATCATATTCAAATCAGTGGAATCATCTAGTTATAAAAATTAGCAAAAAAGATTTAAATGGCATACAATTTTGAGACTAAAAGGTGAGATAATTAAAAATAATTATTAGATTTATATATCAAATATCTCTGATCAGAGGACAGAGAGGTCTATTTTCATTTTCATGGGGAGATGGGATGCATTTGACATGGACAATGCTATACTGAAGGTAAAATTTAGCAATTACAAGTTTATAATAAGAAAAAAGTACATTCTTTTGAAGACTTTATATATGGCATCATTTGGAGTTATCAAAATTTATTATATAAAGACACTGGATTTTGGAAATTTGAATTTGAACCAGTGCTCTGTTACTAACCAGCTGAATATCTTGGGATAGTAATTTTACCTCTTCATACCTCACTTTCCTCAGCTTTAAAATACTTTGTGCAAAAGAAGGAAAACCAAGTTAAGCATCAGTAGATGATAATTTGAATTTTATAGACTTTTGAAAAAAGTTACAGGTTGATACTGACCTAAATAAAACATATGCCTAAACAAGGCTTTATTCAGTGTAAACTAATTATTTGGAATTATTTTAGAATTACGATCATTAAAAATAACAAATTAATTTAATACACTGTCAAAGTCTTGAATATTGTTTGCCAATGGTAGACCTTGGTATAGTTACACATATTGGCCAGCTAGCTACTAGAAATTTGAATTTGAATAGTTTTTTGGTGTTTAATAAATTGGAGCATGATTTCCAAGAGCTTATCCTATCATGAAAAGAGCTTCATGGTTGGACCCTTCTCTTTAAAAATGTTCCTTTTCGAGCAGGTGTATCATAATAGGCAATCTCATTCACATAAATTCACAGGATTAATATCCTATTCAAAGCAACTTGCTTTTGAATAATTCAGTATACTTTGATAACTAGATCTTTTCAAAGTACTGATTTCATTTACTTGCCTTCCACTGTGTTTCGGAAACTGTTGGTAGAGTTGGAATAAAAAGGAGGCGTGTCAAATAAACCGACTTCCAAGCACTGAGCGACATCCTGTGGTTCAGGAAGACGTTGCACCATTGGTCTGGCCACATTTCCAGCTGGATTTCTCCTAATTGGCCCACTCTCAGTGCCTGCAGAAAAAAATGGGATGTGCAAACGTTTATACAAGTGTTTGGAGGTCTTATCATTGCTCTTTAAAACTTTATACATAGCATGAATATGAAATATAGGTTCTCCTTGGTAGAAAAGAAAATTTTAAAATGCATACTTGGTAGTATTAAAGTGAGAAAATCTAAGCTACCATGTCCTACTTCTTTGAATCGAGTAGATATGTGACACATAAAAGTATTTGAAGGAATAAAAAGAATCACACGAACAGATACAGATCTCTTTTTTTTTTTTTTTTTTTTTGAGACGGAGTTTCACTCTTGTTACCCAGGCTGGAGTGCAGTGGCACGATCTCGGCTCACTGCAACCTCCGCCTCCTGGGTTCAGGCAATTCTCCTGCCTCAGCCTCCTGAGTAGCTGGGATTACAGGCACACACCACCATGCCCAGCTGATATTTTTGTATTTTTAGTAGAGACGGGGTTTCACCATGTTGACCAGGACGGTCTCGATCTGTTGACCTCGTGATCCACCCGCCTCAGATCTTAATATTTGTTAAATCAATGTATGCTTCTTTCACAAGAATGTATTAAAGTCCATGGAAAATTTTTGCTAAAATAATCTCATAAACCTAAGTTCTACACTGAAATCTATATTTCACATATATGTGATATTTTGTACCCAAATGCTGCCTATTTAAACCTTTAGAGAAATAAGGTTAAACTTCTTTGGAAAGTGATACATATTTCAACCAACACACATTTTTCAAATTTTTCAGCAATTAATATGAGAAATAATGAAACTTTGTGAAGGGCAGTAACAAACAGACAAAGAACTGTGATACTAGGGATAAATAATATGACAGAAGCCTTAAAGAAGAAAAGAAGAGAGAGATAGGGAGGGAGTGGGGAGGTGGAAGAGAGAGAGAGAGAGAGAGAGAGAGAGAGAGAGAGAGAGAGATCCCATTCAGTCAGATCTCCAGAAAGGCTTTACAAAAAAGAGAGATTTTTTACAAAGAGCCCCATAGGATTAAGAAAACTTTCCATAGGTGAAATAAAAGAAATTTTAAAAGGAAAACATTTTAATGGCAAGAGATGATATACTTTCTTCTGTCTATAACAAAGCCTCCTATCTATAACAAAAAAAAGTGTGTGTATCCCACAGACTTGGCACAGTACCTGGCATTTAATAGGTGCTGAAGAGTTGTTTGGGGCATGACATTATATGCAAAAGATCATGTTAGCTGTAAAAAAGGGCCTGTTTGGGAAATAGCTTTCCCGGAATCTCTGCCAGGAGAGTAGCATACTGTGGTAAAGAAGGGAAGCTAGACCAGAGCTATATTGTGGAAAAAAAAAATACCAAGATTAAAAAGTTACATTTAATTCCTTAGGAAGTGGAGAGAGGTCAAAACCTTAGATGGGTGGGAGGAGAGGTGATTGGTTGGGAGAATTTTGCATCGTTCTGTCCTAGTGGCCTCCAGGAAGAAATATATGTGCCGTAGAGGGACAAGCAAAATAATCCACTAATTTGGGGAGAGATAATGTTACAACTTCAACTCACATTCCTTTTTCTTTATTCAGAAACCTTCCCGTGTTCTATGCTTTACAATTAACATAATAATCAGAACCTGATAAATTAGCATAATGAAGTTTATGTAATGTGTAACTAAAACCTCAGTTGGGATTGGAAACTGTATTTATTGAGTGTACATTTTCACCAAAAACTTTCGCCATCCCTAGATAAACTATCAATTCCAGCTGATATTTTGGGGATTACTGCTCAGGAAGCTATCAGTAAATCCCAAGAAGCAAATATTGATTACTTGAATTTCAAAACATCTCATTCTAATTTTCCTTCAAAGAGTTCCATAGTAGAAAATGCTGATAATAAAGAAACTAGTTAAATCAGGTCATTTTTTACTCCAGTGTTTCTTAAATTTGTTTGCATATGGACAACTGCTGCTATTGCATCTAACATCCTAGAGACCAAAATCCTGTGGAATTTCCATATAAAAATAAATGGAAAGTTGCACATGTCCTGAAGAAGAAAATACATTTGAGAAGTACTGTGAATAAATAACAGTGCTCTTCTATGTTGATTCAAAGATGGTACTTTGGTGACTGAAGAATGTTGGATGCAATAAAGTAGTAACTTTTTCAATCTACCAAGTTTGGTGTATTTATTTTGAATATTGGAGAAATACTACATAACAAGCATATAAAGAAATAGGTATGAAATATTTAAGGAAGGTTTTATCTAAAGTTGGAAATGTGTGGGTCTCCAGTAAAAGATGATCAATAAAACAACAAAAATGGACAAGATCATTAAAGAAGAAAGGTAATAGAAGAGAGAATTGTTACGAGGACTAAATAGGATACTAAAGCAAAGCATTTCATACCATATAAGATACATAACATGTGTTCAATAAAATGACAGTTTTTCCCTTTCCTTTGCCTTATAAATAAAATGCCTGCTATTTATCTTTTGCAGTGAAACAAGGGTTAATCTTAAATTTCTTTAACCTAAATATTCTTCAAGTTGTCATGAGACTATGTGTCTGAGTTAGGAGACTTGTTATATTAACTGACAAGAAAAATCGTGATTAAAAAATACCTCTTCCTCTTCTCACCTCCTGTGCTATAATTGCATTTACTCATTTAAACTGTGTTTTATTTTGGTGTCCAACCATCAGGATGGTTGGAAAATGTCTAGAAAACTCTCAGGCCAAAATACAATGGCCTGGTCAGAAAGAGATAAATGCTTTGGTATCTGCAGACATCCTGATCCTCAATTTCATTTCTCTGCCACAAGGTGGGACCATGCATTCAGCACACCAAACAAATACAAATTTATTCTAAGTTTTGAACTTCTACAGAGGAAATTTTCGTATATTATTACTTCTCTTATTCCTATACACTGCTAAATAATCTTCTAATTGTGAAAATATGTATCTAATTTTTCCTAATTTACTTAGGAATTTCCTAAATTTATTTAGAATTTTCCTAATTTATTTAGAATATTTCTTACTCAAGTACATAAAATAATGCTTGATGCATAAACTAATCTATGTAAAATAAATATGTTATAACTATAATAATAAAACAAATTCACATAATTCTTATTTTTATATGGAAGAGCAGTCAAAAGAGCCAGACATGCCTGAAGAAGAAAAATAAGATAAGGTAGGGAGTGTCTGATAATTAAACCTGGTGGTACTAGCATAGGCATAGATAATAATATGATCCAAGTAAGAGACTAGGAAGCTCAGGAAGAGATCTGCATGTGGCAGGAACTTGACCTGTGACAGAGGCGGCATTCAGATCACTGGAGAAAGGATGCTGGGACAGTGGGTTAGGTGTTCTCTTGTTGTGTTTACATCAGAAGAGCTGGAGAGCAGCTAGCTGGCAGACATCTGTACAGCACTGAAAACCATCCCCCATATCACCTTTTGCTTTCTGATTTTCTAAATGAATAAACATACATTTGGTTTGTTTCTTTTCTTATTTTTCTCCCATGGCATTTCCAACTTTTTGCCTGTTTTTCACCTTTTCTTCAGAAATATTTTCTGTGAAATTCCAACACAAGGCACATGACTACTAAGCAGTGCTAAGAAAACTAAGAGGATTAGTTTATACAACTAGACATTTCCAAAATCAAGTTAGCAAGATATTGACCAAATTACAGTGAGTAACTTGGTCAGTGTAAAAGCACTGTAAAAATGAGTAGGCACTTTCTGTTTCTCCAGGAGCCACTTATGGAGTGTCTTGAACATTTTAGGCCCTTAATGAATGCCTGGTACACTGTTTCTCTATAATAAAAGTAGATTTTAGTCTGAATTCTCTAGTAGAATGAAGGGCCTTCCAGGCAGCATATTTAATCTCTTTTTCTAAAAAGAATTTCTGACTCTGAGCAATCATTTGCAACTTACTGTTACAAAGTGTTCCCAGGGTATCATAATCTTCCAAGTAATCACAGACCACACGCCATTCAGAAAAGACAGAGTTTGGGCTTATTAGAGTGGAATCAAAGTTGCTTCTGGATCCCATCAAGTCATCCGTGCAGATATCACAGACATTTTTCCCCGTCGCAAAATTCCAGTAAGGAAGGGAGAAAGAAGGCTCTTGCAACATTTCCTAGATCACAGAAACTCTGTTAATATTCTCTGCTCCTGTTTACAATTCTTCGTTTCTGCTTGGTGTGCTCGCTGACAGTCTATTTCTATTAGCTGTCTTCAGACAATAAGGTACTGGTTAGTGTATCAGTGGATTCTGAGGAGCCCAGAAGAGATCAGACCTTATTTAACAAAGCTAGTAATGTATTACAAGGAGTCATTCAGACATTAAAGGGAATGCAACTCAACTCATCGTGCAGAAATTTTTGAAAATGATTGGGAGGGTTAAAAGGTCTTCTTTTTCTTTTTTAGCCAGGTAATTACATTTCTATTGGTTATAACAAAAATTGTCAATAACAACATCGATTTATTGGCATTTTCACCTTCTTCAATTTTTCTGTCTTTAATTCAAGCACCATTAACTCTTAGTCTGGTGCCAGATCCAGACATAAAATATGTTATGTAGAGTGCTAATTTTTGTTTTGCTTCTGTTTTAAAATTTCATTTGAATGACTGGGCATTTAGGTTTTGGTTTGGTCACAGGCCAATGGGCTCTTTCACACTGGGCATGGAAGGTGTTTTATTTATGAAACACTGCCTTAGAATCTAAACTTTTACAACTTAGGCTTCTGGCTAAATCTTATACTAATAAAAATGCTAAACAGAAGCAGAGTAAATCTTTCTGCCCATTGGTTTTTAGACCAGAGACCTAGTTTCCATTCAGAGCTGAAATCACATTTTTAAAAATGCTGGCCTCAAGATCACATGCTTATTTTATTCAGTTCTTTAAAACATATAATTCCTTGTTATTTCTCGTTTCTTTTGGCCCTTGAGAAGTTCTGTTTATGGTATGGGATTTAAATGTAGGAATTGCCATTGTTTTATCTTATCTCTCAAGCACTTAGTACATTCTGCTTTTTCACTTCCCTTTCTAGGAAGCATTTTCTTAACCTTGGGTGTTTTAGAGAGCCAAAAGCTTTCCAAGTTATCCCTAGTTATTGGTCTCCAGAGGTTTGTAGGCCTCCTTTAGAAGCCATCATTGTGGTTCACAAAAATTAGTGACAGCTTCCAAGGGATCATTAAGAATGGGTTGTGGTTCAGCAACTGACATTTGGGAGCCAGAGCATATTCATGTGGCATTTCAAACATGAATTACATTTAAATTGTAATTTGTTGGATCCCTTGTGCTGTTGGGTTTTTAAAATGTAAGTCATAGAGGTTGAAGTTTACAGAGACAAAATTGAAGCTTTTAAATACTTTCCACCTGCCCTTTCATTTTGGTGTGCCCATGAGAAAATGGCATGAAGATCTGCAGTCAATTACAAATGACAGGTTTATCTACTCATAATCTACTAAGTGTCTCACTTGTAATCAGTGATATAAAATATGATGTTCAGAGTATCAGATGAATTCATTTAATCACTCTCGAACTGCAAATGGATAGTGTACTTTCAAATGAATATTTTATCCTGTATTTTAGTGCATTAATTCTCTTCTAACCATTTATTTTTTTCTTAGAATATTGCTGGCACAAGCATTCTGCAAATTAATAAATGAATCTAAACACTTTTCCTGTCTTCATATATTTTTAGCTTAGTTCTTACATTTTAACTTGAAGGGTGAGATTCATTTTCTGTTGTTTCACATAGAAAACAGGTTTACTTTGTGGGTTTCTTAGCTGAGATCTAACAACTTAAAATCTTATTTTAAAATTTCAATATTTTTCTAAAGAAATAGAGCAGCTGGTAAAAGAAACAAGAGTAAAGAATCTATGTAATCAGCCACTTTAATATGTTTTGAGCTTATCTACTTAAAAAATAAGCATGAAATAGCTACTTGAGTTGAGGTTCACTTCTCTTTTCATTAGAAAAGATAATTTAGCCAATATCTTTTCACTAGAAATATTGCCTGAATGACGTAATTTTTTTTTGTATTTTTAAAAGTTTTTTCAAATTTTATATATTTTACCTGTTCAACATAGTGCTTTGATATAAATATACATAGTTAAGCAGTTACTGTAGTCAAGCAAATTTACATATCTGTCCTCTTATATAGTAATGTGATATTTTTAATAGGTTTCTTTTGTAAGCCTCAAAGGGTAGGGAATGTGGAAAAAATGTAGTTCAATGGAAATATGAGAATCTAAATGGAAAGGAATTATTTTTCATGATTTAAACCCTACACCATGTTGGAAGGAATCACTGGAATAATGAGATATACATTTGGGACTTGAAAGATTGGGAAGTCTCTAACCCACATCATTAGGAGGAGGAATCTGCTTATATTTAGCAGAGGAGGAAGACATGCAGATGAGCTTCTTCTTTCTCAAGCTTTACAAAAGTCTTATTTTCAATGAAGCTATAAAACATTTTAAAACTTTTAATTCACACCTGCAAATGTATTATTTTGCTCATTATTGATAATACTTTATTTTCACTTCAAGATAAAAATTAAAAGTAATGAAAACAAGGAGAAAATGAAATGCCAAAGACAGGTTAGTAACATGAAATTGCTTTTTCATCAACTGTTCTGATGATTCTGAAAACTAGTGAATTAAAATGACTTACAAACAAGGCATCTTGTCTGTAAAGAGTCTAAACACTGAAATGCTTCTTACATACCTGCATGTCTGTCTCCAGACGCAGGAGGTGGTACCTGTGCCACGTGAGAAAAGCTGGTCCCTCATGAGAGAAATCCACTTCACCAAAGCTTTCCTGCCCTGCCCCAAGGAAAGTCTTTTTGACTGAGTAATAGTGTGTCCAAACAAAGTAGTTATAAATGGAAATGTTCTCAAATTGTGGCGTGTTGCCATCTGGCCCCAATATTTCTTCTGATCTCCTGGTGGCAATGACAAATAAAGGGTGAGTTGTGCGCTTTGCCATATCCAGGGCCCGGACAAAGTGGTTCTTTTCTTCTTTGCTTAAGTCCAGAATATTTCTCCTGACTTTAGGGAAACAAAATTCAAGCATGAAAACATCTGCCTTGTGGGGATGGGTAGAGAAAGAGCATAATTGTCTTGTAATACACCATGACCCATTTATCCATCTGTTCAAATATGTTTTAAACTATTTTACACTTTTAAAAAAAATCGTTAACGAAAAGCCTTTCTTCAGGCCCGCTTTCTCTCTCTCTCTTCCCTTCTCTCTCTCTTTTTCCTCTCTCCAATTTACTGTGTGATTTCTATTGCCTTTCTTTAATCTTACCTATGGATTTTACAATTTTTTGACCTTGTAATGTTCATTTCTGGCCATTATTGGCATTTTTATTGGAATTTTCTAACTTTCTGTCTTTTTAACATTATAATTCTTATAAAATTAGGTGGTATAACATGGTAGTTAAGACCACAGAATTATTCTGTGACTTTGGGCACATTTTTCAAAGTCTCAGTTTTTTTTTAATCATTAAAGTGTGGATAAAAATAATTCCTGCTTTATAGAATTGTAAAGTTTAAAGAGCATACACATAAAAAGCAATTAGCCCAAGGCCTGACTCATAGTAAAGACTCAATACATGTTCTGTTAAACCCTTAGTCTACTATCTGGTACATAGAACACAATAGAATATTGTAGGCTGTTACTGTTTAGTGCTTTGTTATTTAATGCTATTTAGTCTGCAGGCTAAACTCTTCATCTCAAATGCCTGAATTTGGTCATCATGGTGGGAAATTTCTTTAAGGGTCAGCAGAGGTAGTGGCAGAACTAAAATATAAGGGCTAGATAGATCTCAGTGTGAATTCCAGGTTTACTAAATATCAGCTGTGTGGATTTGAACTTTCTGAACGTCATCTATGACAATTAACATGTTTGCCTGAAGGAGTTACTGAAAAGACTAGTCATAAATACCTAACACAGTTCCTAGGATATAGTGGTTTCTCAACAAATGTTTCAGAAGAAAATATTGGTCAGAAGTTCTGGGCTTCAATCCTAACCCTTCACATTAAACAAGTTTCTTAACCTTTCTAAGCATCAGTTTCCTCAATCATGAAGAGAGGGTTGAGCTTTGATTTCCAGGTATTCCTCCAGCTCAAATGATTTAAGATTTTATTCAGAGCCTTGCGTCTCATGCAAGACTTGTGAACTGAGTCATATCTCCACTTACCTACGAGAACCCTCTGGTCACAGGCAGCTCCTCTCCAGCCAGGTTGGCAAGACCCACAGTTGTGTCCTGAGAAGTTGCCATTGCAGTGACATGTCCGATTGAAGAAGCGCAAGGGCCACACCTCCCGATCATCTCTGCCGTCGTGTGGGTACTGAGGGCTGTGGGGCCGGGAGTCTGCAGTCACTGCCTCGCATCTGCCCCTCCCTGATGATGAGCCACAGCGGTCTGTCCCAGGCCCAAACACAGGAGACAGGTCTGGGCAACACACACCACTTCTTAAAGCCTCAACAGTGGCACAGTCTCTTGGGAATTGAGCCTGGGCCTGCTGAAAAAGCGGCAGCAGGAAGAAGATACAGCCCAGAGAGAGGAGTTTAGGAGCATTCATTCTGCTTGAAGTAAGAGTGCAAAACAAAGGTCTGGTTCTCAGCCCTTTGTGTAGAGAAGACTGAAGCATGTAGATGAAATCCAGCTGAAAAAGATAAAGTAAAATGAGATTATGCAGGGATTTCTTGGTGCTTATCAATGGTATGAACCCTTCCCAAATACCTACAAAATGGAATCCATATGTAAAATGACATTTCACACAAATAATAAAAATAGTAATTTATCTTTAAAATTTGACATATTTAACACCTACATGTATGATCCCGACCTAATTAAATTACCTCTCCTAGTCATTTTGTTTTCTTCATTTTATATACATATATACATTCTAGGTATCAATTATCAAAAGCATTAATTAGTAGGTCACCACCATTAATTACATTTAATTTAACCTTTAAGCTGAAAGAAGAATTGGGAACAGATTTCCAGCAAGTTAATTTTTGTGATTTAAAGTCCGTTATACGAATGGAGTTTTGGCAGGAGTCCACCCACTCCCCATAGGACTTCTTTTCAGTACCTTAAAATCCTGAAGGATGTGTGTCTCTGATGAACTTCTCTTAGAATTGAACGTTTTATATTTGCTTGTGTTTCTTGTCCTCTCACGTCAGAACTGTTAATTGCATGTGGATTGCTGCCTGATAACTAATCCCAAATCTGCTCACCCAAACTAGGAGGGGCTGGTCTTTTTTTCTACCCTTTACTAATCCCTTTCACTTCAGTGAATGTTTCTGCCCTTTAAGAACTTGATCAGCACATGATTCCTTTCTCACTGATTTCCTTGTGATATTTAAATTTTAAGAAAAGGCCAGAAGCACTAATTTGTCATACAAATCAGAGAAACTAATAAGATATATTTACACTGAAGAGATTTCTTTTTTCCTTTGACAGCATATCTTCAGAGGTTGAAACATAATCTTGTTTCAGCCTTATTACCTTTTCCTAATGATACAAAAGCCAGGCTAGTGCTTGTACCTGATAGGAGCTTTTGGTTGTGCTCTGTCTTGAAAACAGATGCTACTGTTACTACAATTTCTAAGAGAATAATTGTAGTGGAAAAGGCATGAGTTACAGTTACACCTGACATTGGCTATCATGGTACCTGCAGGCTTTGACAGAGTTGCGAACTTCAACTCCATTACCTTCATTGAGGCTGGTGTCCATCTCTGTGGCAAAATATTACAGGGATGCTACTTCTTTTGTTTAGGAGATGCCTACTCAACGTATTCTAATTTCCTATTTCTCTTCAAATAGTCTTAAGCCGATGACACTAAGGGTAATAGAGTCATGTATTTCAAGAGGAATGTTCTGTTGAAGTTGAAAACTCATGTATATGAATTCAATCTTCAACTGTAAGCTTTAGTTTGGAATACATAATTACTGTGAAAAGGTTATCACAATTCAGGATCAGGGTTAGCTGTCCTATTTAAACCTCAGCCATAAAATTGTTGAGAAAACTATCTAAAATAATTGAATGTATGGTTACAAACAACAAAAAAACAAAGACCAATGCCACTAAGGGTAATAGGTTTGTATATTTTCAGAGGAATGTTCTTCTGGAGTTGAAAAGCCATGTATATAAAGTCAATTTGTAAATCTAATCTTTATTTGTAATATATAATAACTGTACAAAAATTATGAAAATTCATGATCAGCGTTAGTTGTCCTATTTGACCCTAAGGCATCAGATTGTCTAGAAAATTAAATAAAATAATTGGGTGTATGATTACAAACAAAAAAAGACAAAGATATATCTATACATTAAGATAAGAAAGAATAAAAGGAATTTTTTGTTCATGGTCCCTTGTCTATATCAATATGATTTATTACAATTATATCAAACCATGGTTATTGAGATGTTTGTGAATCTAAAATGTTATTCTTTCCTTATTTTTGCCTATTACTTACATCACAATCGACTAATCTGTATGCACCTTAGGATATTTACTAAAATGCCTTAAAAAATAGAAAAATTCTGGTGATGATTTAGTCAGTATATATGGGACAACTTTTTTTTCCTTTTGACTCCATAGGCTAGAAAAGCAAAAAAATGGTATCATTACTGTGGAAGTAAACTTTGGTGACCAGATTTCCCCCCCCCAGTACTATGTATCCAAGTTGTTGCATATAAAATACTGTATTTTACATTTTTTAAAATGGCAGTTTGAAATATCATTGTAAGGAATATACCATATTTGAGAGGCCGTGGTGGGTAGATCATGAGGTCATGAGATCAAGACCCTCCTGGCCAACATGGTGAAACCCCATCTCTACTAAAAATACAAAAATTAGCTGGGCATGGTGGTGCACGCCTGTAGTCCTAGCTACTTGGGAGGCTGAGGCAGGAGAATCACTTGAACCCAGGAGGCAAAGGTTGCAGTGAGCTGAGATTGCACTGCTGCACTCCAGCCAGGGCTCCATCTCAAAAAAGAAAGAAAAAAAAGGAATATACTGCATTATATTTACCCATTCTTCTGTTCAGAGATATCTGGATTATTTTGCAGGATTTTCTTTTTGTATTATGAATTATGCATCTATAGTCTTTAAATGTTTCCTGGTGAATATATGTAAGAATTTCTTAATGGTAGATATTTAGAAAGGGGATTTTGCTAGTCATGGAGTTTGTAAATATTTACAAAAAATCTCTAAATTGTTTTCCAAAGTAGTTGTATCAATTTACATTCCTGCCAACAGTGTTTAAGATTTCTTATTGATTCATAAGCTTGCTAATACTTCATGTTAATAAATTTAATTGCCAGTTATATGTTTGTAAAATGGCATTTCATTAATCTCAATACCTAATAATTTTTAATACTATTCTTGTGCTTTTATCTCTTCTGCTTCCTTAATGTGAAATAGTTTTTTCATGTCTATTACTCATTTTTGTATTGCATTTTTATCTTCTTAACATGTAGAAGTTTCTTATATATTCTCATTTCTAGTCTTCCATTAGATAAATACATTGAAAATATCTTATTTCAGTTTGGAACTTCATTTTACCATTCTTTATGTAGTCTTCTGATGAACAGTTCTTAATTTTCATGACATTCTAGCAAACTTTAAATTTATGGTTACTGATTTCTATATCTTGCTTAAGAAAGCTTTCCTCTGCATTGTGGAGTGGCTCATGGCTATAATCCTAGCACTTTGGGAGGCTGAGATGGGTGGATCTTTTGAGGCTGGGAGTTCAAGATCCAGCTGGGCAATATGACAAAATCCTGTCTCTACTAAGAATACAAAAACTAGCTGGGTGTGGTGGTGTATGCCAGTAATCCTAGCTACTTGGGAGTCTGAGGCAGGAGAATCACTTGAACCCAGGAGGCGGAGGTTGTAGTGAGTCAAGATTGCACCACTGCACTCCAGCCTAGTTGACACAGCCAGACCCTGTCTCAAAAACAGAGATATTCCTATTCCAGGGAAATGAGGAACGTGTGTGTCTTTTCCTTCTTTCCAGATGGGTAACCAATCATCTTCACAGTCTATACCTCTCTCAAATTCCTCCTGAATCACTAAGTCTCCTTTGATTAAAAAAGACGAAACAAAAGCCTTTTTTTCTTTTTTCCTCCTCTGTCCTCTCGTTATAGATGGGTAATTGTGGTCTGTACCACAGGATACTCCCCTGAGATGCATTCTCCAAGTTGGAGAAAGTTAATTCCCCCGAACCTCAAATTGCTTGGCTTAAAATTGAGCCAGGGGAAGGGAACCCAGAAGACTGACAGGCCAGCACAAGGGTAAAGGTTTTTTAGTTTTAACCATTTGGACTTCTTGCCTCTCTTGCCCTGGGCAAACCAGTGAAAGGAATGGTAAAGATCATTTTAAAGATTTGAAAAAATTGGATGAAGTCTCTATCTTGTTTTACATACTTGGGAGCTTGACCTTGTAACCACATGGCAATACTTTCTTTTGGTTTCTGATATTTTACAATAGTAGCTTCGGTTCAATCCTGACTTAAAGAATGAGTACTCTCTGGTTAATATCTGTGTGACTTTTCCCATGTGCTGATTCTCTTCCCCTCCATGAACAACTTCTAGCTTCCTTTCTTAAATCTTCCTTTCCCTGAGCTACCTTTAAAGATTCTAGATTTTGTAAAAACTGCTTACCACCTCTTTGAAAATACCTGGTGTACTCGAACTTAAATCATATCCTTAGTTGATGATTATTGTTTTTTTACTTGTGAGGTTACTTTTTGTAAAGTTAAAAAGCCAGATATATTGGCCACTTGGCATGGCTAAAGTCAGTAACCATGGATTTAAAAGGAGTCTCTTGGCCAGGTGTGGTGGCTCACACCTGTAATCCCAGCACTCAGGGAAGCCTAGGTGGGCAGATTGCTTGAGATCAGGAGTTCACAACCAGTCTGGCCAATATGGTAAAACTTGGTCTCTACTAAAAATACAAAAATGAGCCGGTATGGTGACTGATGCTTGTAATTCCAGCTGCTCAGGAGGCTGGAGCAGGAGAATTACTTAAACCCAGGAGGCAGAGGTTGCAGTGAGACGAGATCATGCTATTGCACTCCAGCCTGGGCTCTCAGGGGTACCTGATCTAAAGGAAAAAAAAAAGAGAGAGAGAGAGAGAGAACCTCTTAAAGAATGCTATGGTTAAAAATCAGCTTATTTAAAAGTGGATATCGAAGTTAAAATCCCTGTCTGGGATTTAAGTGACATACGATTTGGTTACATATAAATTTCCTTTTTCTAATCACTATCCTATATCTTCAAATATAATTGATTGGCCATGGGTCCTTATAGAGATTATTTTTTTCTTTGCTGCTAGAACTCTGAAGTATCGTTTAATTATCTTCTGTAGGAGAGTAAGAATACCTAAGTCTATTGTGAACAATTCAACCTGTCTTACCAACTTTCAGGAACTAAATGCATGTGGTCAATAGCCTGGGCCTGGATTTTATTAGAATAATGAAAAAATAATGTATTATTTTATTACAATCTAGCTCTATTTCCAGGGGCTTGTGGCCAAGGAATATACCAATATCTTTAGCAAGTGGACCTATTATCATTAAAATGTGATCTTAAGTCACCAAACTCAATATTCATATTAAGAATTTATGGCTGCTTTTGTTACTTACACGATTGTTTAAAAAAAAAAAAGATGCAATTTACCCCACTGATCACCAGACAAATATTCAAAACTATATTTGATAGCTGAAGGAGATTAATAGCTAGAAGGAAGTGTGTTTATTCCAAATAGATCTATTTATTTTAAAATTTCCCCATTGAGTTACATTCTTGTCAAATGGGTATAGATTTTCAAAAACATTTCTTATTTTTATTTAACCAATAACAAGAGCCGATGGAAATATATTGCGAGCTTCATGTAAGTGAAGCATGAAGCCTATTATGTGGGATGGCTTAAAAGATATAAACATTTATAACTTTCATAGATGCTGGCCTGTCACAGAGTGTTTTGTTAAAATTCCAATATGTTGCCTTATAATGTGGCCTATGTTTTAGCACCAAGTTCTGCCTGTTATTATATTACCAAATAGTAGGTAAGAACCTGTGCAAGAGGTACATGAGAGAAAGTAGAGGTCTCTTGGGAAAGGAGAAATAATTTACGAAATAACCTGTTTTACCTACAGAGTTGCAACTAAGAAGTCCTGAGGGAAGATGCTCTAAAGTACAAAACATACCTTTTCTGAGAAAAGCATGCACTTTGCATCACACTTTACACATCC